TTTTAGTCTCTTAAAATATTATAAAACTTTTTAAAAAATGAATATTTTTAAAAAATACAGGGTGCTTTGCTTGCTTCGAACGAATCCAGCAAAGCACCTCGGTTTTTTAAAGTTTTTTGTAAAACAACCATACCACATTATTAGGCTATTTTTAGGCTCTTGAAATATTATAAAACGTTTCCAAAAAAAGTGCTACTTTTTATTATTACAGGTTGCGTTATTTTTTAAAGATTTTTCCTAAAAAGAACCACGCTTCATTTAAGGCTATTTTTAATCTTTAAAAATATTATAAAATATTTCAAAAAAATTAGCCTTTTGTAAAATATACGGCATGTTTTGCTAACTTTAGAACAAAGCCAACAGAGCACCTCGATTTTAAGTTTTGTTTTTTTCTAAACTAAATCACGTTTTTATGCTAGTTTTATGCTCTCGAAATATATAATTTTCAAAAAAAAATTGTTAAACTGAGGTGCTTTGCTGACTTTGTTCCAAAAAAGCCTGTATTATTTAAAATTAGCAAAAATAGCCTAAAAATGTGATGTGCTTGTTTTTAGAAAAAAGCTTTAAAAAAACTGATGTGCTCTGCTGGATTTGGTCAAAGCTAGCAAAGCAAATACTATTTATTTTCGAAAGTTTTATATTTTAAAAGCCTAAAAACAGCCTAAAAATTAGGCGTGCCTATTTTTAGAAAAATAGCTTTAAAAAGCCGAGGTGCTCTGCTGATTTGTTCCAACAAAAACAGCATTTTTTAGTAAAGTTTTATATTATTTTAAGAGCCTAAAAATAGCCTAAAAATGTGGTGTGATTGTTTTTAGAAAGAAGCTTTAAAAATCGAAGTTCTCTACTGGATTCGTTCGAAACTAACAACGCTTCCTGTATTTTTTAAAAAATACTAATTATCTCGAATAGTTTTATAGTATGTAAAGAGCCTAAAAATAGCTTAAAAATGGGACAAGAAGTTTTCAGAAGAAAAAAATTAATAAAGCGATGTGTTCTGCTGACTTTGTTTCAACAAAGCACCCTGTATTTTTTAAAAATAACAATTTTTTTCGAACAGTTTCATAATATTTTAATAAAATGAATATATCCTAAAAATATGGTGTCGTTTTTGGAAAAACTTCAAAAAACTGAGGAGCTCTGCTGACTTCGTTTGAAACTAGCGGAGCACCTTGATGTTTGCAAAAAAAACGAGAAGCATAAACATTTTTAATAGGGTATAAAAATAGCCTAAAAGTATGGCATAAGTTTCAACTCAAAATTGCCTAGGTGCTCTGCTGCCTTCTTTGACATGCATTTTCGTGAAGAATAAGCTCGCATAGTCTTGCTGTGTAAACTGTCAAAAGTGATTGTTTAGTTAATAAACTTTTAATTATAATTTTTACCACGTGACCAATACTTTTGGAGCATTTGTTTTTTTACATCTCTACATTTTAATCTAATCCTGAATCACTTGATAAAAAAAAGTCTCACAACATCTCGGATGCATCGACGTGGATTTTTTAGTAATGCAGCAATTGTAGTTATTTGAAGTTAATCTTTTCGAATCAGAAATTGTGGTCGAGACGTAACCGAGTTACCTACAAACTTCTAGACGATTTATTTAGTCAGTTAAATAAAGGTCTATTTAGAGTCAGTTTTATAGGTTACGTTAATAATTAGGGTTGCCACCTGTCCTTTTTTGAAAAGGACAGTCCTTTTTTTGAAGCAAAATGTCCTTGTGACTTTTTAAAGCTTAAAATGTCCTTTTTACGGCAAATCTCCTCTTTTACGACACATGTTTTTTTTTGACCGACAGCACATTTTTGGTTTGTACATGGTTTGTACAAAAATATATAAACTTTTTTTTTAGAAGGTCGATATGACGAGGAGGAGGATTTCTTTAGTTCAGTTCGACGACCTTTTTTTTTCACTTTTCAAAAAGGTTTTCAACCCTATATAAAATAGAGTTTAAAATTTGTAAATACGAATATAAGTGGTAAAAGTATAGTTCGAATTCCTAGAATTTAAAAACATATGTTTCTTTTCAAATGTACAACTTGACCACCCTGCCGTTGTGTGGACCTGTCTCGAAAAGATTTTACGAGCTTGTGTACGAGCAGTGGTTTATTTGTAATATAGTCAATCAAGATTTAGATATTGTAAAGGAAACATGAAACAATAAAGTAATATTTTCAATACTTTTTTAGTATCTTGAACTCGCCCTAAATATAAGAAAACGGTGTCAAATCCCCAAGAATAGTGAAATAACATTTAGATTGTAACAAAAGTTATACCAGTTTTATATTTTCGGGGTCAAGTTTGCAAGTTGCTTAAAAGCATAACTCCTAGTTCCTGCAATAACTTTAATAATAGAGCCTCGAATAAAGCTATGCAATTTATTATCAAGAAGATTTTTCGTTAAATTTCTGCTGATATAATCTCCGAAAGTGCTGCAATTAATTTTAATTTGTTATTTATCACATTAAAATTTGTATAAGATTTGTTTTCTTTTACCATACTATATTACCTAATACCATATGTTATGTCAATTTTTGAGAAAAAATTACAAATTTCAGTTTAGATTGCTTATACCTAATAATAGTTTGTGCAACAAAAGTGCAGGAAGACGAAGTTTGAGCACGACTCCGCAAGCGGAGTGCGCTACGAATAATTCACTCAAGGTGCACAGTATATTTTTGCTACGACACATTAACAAAAAATTTCAAATTTTAAACATAAATTTGGAGGTTAATAAAATGAAATAACTATTTTTAAAATAGTTTATGATTTTACTAATTAATAAAAGAATTAAATGAGCCTAGATTTGAACCCTGATCCATTTGCGTGACAAATCAATTCCCTACCTCTACGAAAAGTATACAACTAATTTTTATTTTTTAATACTTATAATTAAATTGGTTTTAGACAGTTTTATTAAAATTTGCAATTTATTTGTAAATATAGACAAATATCTTTGTGGAATGCTGCTATTATTTATTGATTATTTGCAAGTATCACTTTTTTGTATAATCGGCTTTTTTACTGTTTTCCGGCACCACTTTAGGAACGGCACTGTTAATTAGAACCCAACAGTGAATGGCCGAGTGAGAAATCCTACTAATGCATTAGGATCACATACTTTGATTACTATACGGTGAGAGAGAGAGGTCCGACACGCCCAACATAGGGCGCAGCCATTTTGATTCCTATGCCACAGTTTATAGCTAAAGAATCAGATCGCTCACTCTGCGTCGGCACTTTTGATCTCAATGTTCCAGTTTATACACTGCAAATTCGGATAATACAATATATGACAATCGCCTATAATAAAACAGCAGTCTTCTGCGTATCCTGAATTTGTATCCCTGGAGTGGATGTTATTTTGGAACTTTCAACTGGTCCGAGTGAGCTAACTGATTCTTTAGCAATAAACTGTGACTTCAAAAATAATATTCACTGACACTGACAGCAGCAAGCAAAATATCAGGTGCGTTTTAATCATCCGCTTCTGCTTCCGGAATTATCGGTTTAGTCGTTTTAACGTTTTAACGTTTTAAAACAAGAAAACCGACAATTCCGAAGCAGAAGCGGATGATTAAAACGCACCTATTAAAAATATTGCGCCAAGATATAGGCAACACGTAATAAGAGATCAAAATAGCCTTGTTTTCTATCTCCTTTTAAAAGGCACTCAGAAAGCTGCGCAGTGCGACCATTCTCCGTATAGTAAAAGAAAATCAAAGTATGTGATTAGGATTAATATTTAATTCATTATTAAATAAAAATCATGTCACCGGGGGATTAGCACCTGTGACCCTTCAATCTCAAAGTCATGACTTTAACCACTGAGCTGATCCATCCCCTCACTCCTTTTTAATTATATTATTCTCAATAACTAAAAAACATACTTATAATTAATTTGACAGAATTGTCACTTATTTAAAATAAAAAAAAATAGTTGTGCAACAAGAGTGGATATAGACAATCCACTCGAGTTGTACAGTATATTTTTTCTACAAATTTAAAAAAATATTTTACTTAAAATATCTAATTTTAAAACAATGTATGAATTTTACTAATTTATAGAATAAACTAAACATAAAAAACATTTCTTTTTATCTTCGTACTCAATCACAACCACTCTCATATGGCTACCCTCACCCCTTCCTCTTAAAAAATATTTTATTTAATTAGTCCCTAGCCCAGATTTGAACCTGTGCCTCTCGCGCAAAAAACACACGCTGTGTCCTCACCTCCACCGCCACTTTTAAAATTTTAGTTTTAATACTCGTAATTAAATTGACTTAATATAATTTTATTAAAATTAATGAATTTAATTATAGTTATAGATAAAAAATATACTGACAGAATTGTCACTTATTTAAAATTTTAAAAATAATAGTCTGGTGAATAAAATACAAACTATGATTGGTTGATATAATTTTTTTGTTGTATTCTCAGTACCTAAAATATATTTGTTCAGTTGAAAGCAATAGCATACTTTTTAGTTTTGTAGTCTCTGCATAGATAAGCTAATATCCATGTGAGGATTGAAAAAAGTTAAATTAAACCATTGTTGTGATACAAATTGATAAAAGTTTTAATAATAAAATTACAAGCTGCGCAGAAGTATGTGCTGAGATCGCCAATGACGTATCGTCAGCAAATAAGATGACCGTATTTTCATCTATAGGCAGCTGCTTGGGTCGATCTGCCTTTTCTAAAGCTCTGTTGCCTCTAACAATATGAAATTAGTAATCCTATAATGTATTAGTTTTTTAAAATTTTTTAAAAAATACTTAATATAAGTATTGGCCGATAATTGGCAATATTATCATCTGCATTTTTCTTGAAAATAGGTATAACGGTGGCCATTTTTATTACAGATGGAAATTTACCAGATAACAATGATATAATATCACTCACAATATAATAATTTTGTTCCATTTTGAATACAATATCAAAATTTCCTAGAAAACTTTTATTTTACTAAATACTGATTTTATCCTTTTTTGTTTCAGAGAAATGACAGCGTAGTTTCTCCCATCTATCCACCAAAATTATAGTATGAGCACTTCTACTGTCGTTGTTTTGCTGTTGACAGCCACGACCCTACTAGCGCCTTCTATAGTCGCTGACAACGAAGAGGATTTCGCATTTGAAGTCGCGGAAGATTTAGAAGTTGAATTCGATGGGGACAGACTCGTTAAGTGGAATGAGAGGGACTTAATTGCTTATGTGGGCAGGGCGTTCCATCTGGCCATTCCTAAAGATAGTTTTAAAGGCGTGAAAAGTTTCGAGGTATGTATTACGAACATTATTATAACTACGAAACTGAAGTGAACGAGTACTTCTGTGTGTCAAATTATTTTAATAAAATTCGGCTGAGCGCTTTCGGATAAAAGCCCTCATGAAATCCTTCCGAAAAATATTACATTTGAATGAAGAATTTAAAATAATCGCAAGGTTTATTTATTTTTTCGTCATACTATTATCTTACCATAATAGGGGCGTTTGATTTGAAACTCGATCGAGCGAGCGTCGAGGAGACCGAGAAGTGATGACGTCACAATAGAGCATTGAATCAAATCAAATAAAACAGAGTAAAAAACATAACCTCGCTTTTTGTGATTGTCAAAATCACAGGTCAAAATAGTGAGCAAAAAGTAAAGAAAATGGAAAAACTTTTAATAATAAGGGGTAATGGCCCTGAAATGCAGCATATACCACAAATGCCCGCTTCGCTCTCATACTCCATGCCTGTGATTACTGGTGATTAGATCTGGACAGAGAAAATGTATTTTCCAAACAAACATTTTGTGTTTTTTATGACGAACAATTTTAGCTATAAGACAAAAGCGGCTAAGTAATTTGTTGACTTCTTGTCTGGTCTTTAATTTTGAGATTCAAATTTGTTTGTAAGTTAGTTAAAAAGAGATAGATAGAGACAAAGACAAATTTCTCCCTCTTCTCGATCCATCTGCTCTGAGAACATCGAGCTCGCTCTATGTTCTCGCTCCAAAGCAAAACAAACACTTTAGGGATCTCTCGGAGTGTCAATTTAAACGCGTTTGCAGCGCTCGGAGATCTCCGATGATCAAATCAAACGCACCATAAATGAGCGAAATTGATATCGAAAAGGTGCATTTAACGGCCGCCGGCCGTTAAATAAAATAACGGCCGCGCACCACCTACAACAATCACAACAATCTAAAGTTGCCTAGCAACCACATCAATATACTATAGGGACCGTGCGTGAAATATAGAGGCAGCACTACTGCCGAAGTTAGCCCTCTCTAGTGTTTAATTTTAGAATTAAATGGGGTAAACATTGCAAGTAAATAATAAAGAATATTTTTTAAAATATTAAATATAGTTAAATATAGATACCGGCCCGTACCAAACAATCGGGTACATGGTCAAAATGATATAAAATGTAAAACATTATTAAAATCTGGACATGTATATACATTTTAAGCAAAAAGATTTATATGGCTAATTGACAATAAATTGTAAAGTTGTACCTTAAACAAGTGTATCCAATGTCAAAATATCGTTATTTAGTAACACTGAATTTAAAAGTATTACAATAACATTTCAAAACTGTAAATTAATAAAAAAGATTGGGAATAATAATAATTCTTTTTAGATTTATGTTAGTCGAAATGTCATTCATCCACTGACGTTTATGAGACGCCCAATAATATACATATTATAGATTGCTCACCCATCTATAAAAAAATTACGAAAAGCGGGTTGCAATGTGCCTTTCCTAGTGCTCACTAAAATAGAGCCGTTCTAGCCCAAATGTGTTTTAATATAAAATTTCAGTATTTTAATCTTTAGAAAAAGAAAATAATTAAAGTTTTACTTCAAGACACGTTATTATGTATTTGGAAAGTTGAGTTTCCATGTAGTTAAATAATATTAAGATATCTAAACAATTTTTAAAACAAATGGATATAAATAATTTTAGACTACTCTCATTTCAGAAATTACACTACATAAAATACATAATTGCAATATGTAATACAATTTTGAAAATGAAATGTAAACAACTTTGATATGAGATATAAACAACTTTGGTGAGAGTTGTAATTGGACACATCTATTATTCTGAATAATGTTTAATGGTAATGTCACTAAAAAAATTTACAAAAATCACTGGATTTTTAATATTTTAAAGTTTGCTGCAGTCTCTTTTGATAGTACTTGTAATGTACGTATTATTTATGATTTGTTTATTTTAGTAATAAATGAGAAATAGTTAATAAATTGTAAAGAGGGCTATGATATTTTTGTCAAATTGGACATACTTATTTCATAGTAACATTCTACGTTAGTTTTAATCAACAGAATAAACCATTAATTATCTGTAAAATTATATTTATATAAAATGTTCATTTAAATATGTAAAAATCTTAATGACAATAAAACACTAAAGACTCTAATTTCTAAACCGGTTCTGTAAATGTTCAAGTGCTCAAAATTGATACAAAGCTAGATAAAAAAAAAACTTTGCCCAGTGAAATACGCTTTTCGTCATCTGGTTTACATATGGATAAGCAATCTATGTAATGTAATTATGTATATCATTGGGCGTGAGACACAATTCTGCTCTGTGAAAATTTATAAAATTTCTTTACTATTGAATGAAATCCAGGTTTCCAAAGTAATGTGTTCGTACATCCACGGATGCAACAAGTTTTTTCGATAATGATATTACGAAAATAATTCGACTTTATTTAATTAATAATTATTAAACAATAAATGCCATATAAAGTATTAATAAATAAGTAAAGTTCAAATTTTTTTCACCAGTTAGCGTTAAAGTCTTGACGCACGGTCCCTATACAAACATTGTAAGTTTGACAGTACTGTTTCTTGTTGAGTGATTATAGAGCGGAAAAGATCAAAGATGGAAGAAATTTTCGAAAACGATATTCCCTCCGATGTACTGGAAGAAGCAGCTGCGGCAACCAAAAATTTATTTCCGAGTACAACCCAACAAAGATATCAGCAGGAATACGACAACTTCGTGAAGTGGCGTCAGAATAAAAACATACATAGTGTAAGTGAAGAAGTACTGCTAGCTTATGCAAAAGGAATGTCTGAAACGTATTCTCCTACATCACTGTGGACAAAAATATCAATGCTGAAACTTGCGTTAAGAATACATGAAAACATTGACATATCAAGGTAAATTACTATACTATCCGCCAACATTGAACTAACTATATACTCATCGAAATTATGTTTGTTTGTAGATTCGGTAAACTATTCTTGTTCCTGAGGCGTAAAAATTAAGGTTATACCCCAAAGAAAGCGAAGGTTCTATCGGAAAATGATATACTTAAATTTTTGCTGGACGCGGATGATCATAACTGGCTACTGGAAAAGGTTGTGTTAGTGCTCGGTATTCTAGGAGCTTGCAGGAGAAGTGAACTTACTCTCTCTCACCATTAACAGTTTCGAAGATACAGAGAAAAACATCCTCGTATCACTAAAAAAATACTAAGAATAAAAAAGACAGAAATTTTCTTATCCCAAAAACAGGACTTCCATTTGATGCATATGGTTTATACAAGAAATACAGTAATCTGCGTCCTCCTAGTTTCAAAAATCAGAGATTTTTCGTTGGTTATAGGAATGGCAAATGTGTGCAGCAAGTCGTGGGCATACATACCATCGGAAGCGTTCCTAAGAAAATTGCCACCTTTTTAAAACTTGAAAATCCCGAACTTTATACAGGACATTCATTTCGTAGAACATCAGCAACTATGCTCGTAGAAAATGGTAGTGACTTACTGTCATTAAAAGAACTGGGAGGATGGGAATCATCAACGGTGGCGGAAACTTACATAGAAAAATCGGTTTCTAAAAGAATGAAAATAACAAAACAACGTTTTCCAAATAATCCGGAGAATATTGCATCTTCAAGTACTGCAAATAGTTCACATTCTTCAGAAACATCTTCCTCTGTAAAATCTAAATATCCTTGGGACGGGTTGCAGATTTCAAATAACACCAATTGCGAATTCAATTTCCACATCCATTACAATAAGGAATAAATTGTTTTATTCCGTACATATCTTTTAAGAGTTACGTTTAATAAAATTTGTTCTTAAATTAGGTGTTTTGTTTTTGTAGCAGTATGACGAAAAATCTTGAACGAAACACGGCCGATAACAGCAAATAACGGCCTTGGCTGTTTATGATCCTCGGCTATCGCCTCGGATCACAAACTTCAGCCCGGCCGTTATTTGCTATTTATCGGCCTTATAACGTTAATAACTATAACAGTTTGTTTAGTTTATTTCCACTAAGGCACTTATTTATTTTATAACTCAATTTATTTGTATTAATTACAACACTAATTTATATCTTCTTTACTAATTATTTTCATTGAGCTTATTTATTTGATCATAAGGATATCTTATCTAGGACTTAACTTAATCGGGAAAACTTCAGGCATTCCAAACATGTTCTTAATCAGTTTAACACGTTAAGCGCCACGCGTAATATGCTAACTATTCCAAAAAGTTATTTTTTTTTAAATTAATGAAACATATCGGGGCAATTGTTTGATAAAACTACCCCTAAACTAAAAATTCTCATTGTTTTTTTTTTCAAAAACTGAAATGGTCACCAGTGAACGATGTGGGAAATTTATTGACGTACATAATATCAGTCTCACTACCTCGTGCCATCTAAAGGTTTTTTACATATCGTCGCTGAGCTACGAAAACCTCGTAAACGACACAAATATCTAAATGGGGTTTAGGTGTTAATTTGATCAAAAAGCTGTCTGGCTTGAGATGCGAAAAGCTCATAACGCGCCGACCAATAGAATGTAATAATATACATTCTATTGGTCATTTCTAAAAAAAGTTCCTGGTCCTTTCTTAGCGAAATCTTGAAAAAAAAAGCTTCTCAAACCAGGTCCTCCTCATAGTACTCCTTTAGTATTTTTTTTTATTATGACTATTATTTTCGCGGAGCCCCCACAGAGGCTTTGCGGAGCCCCAGGGCTTCGCGGAGCACACTTTGAGAAACACTGATCTAGTCTATTCTTAAATATTTTCTATGTTGGATAGGTAGGTTTTAGTGTTTGGTTATGAATTATCTGCTAAGGTGAGTTTAAATAAAATAAGACTTGGAACGATTTGGTTTAATTATCTAATTATGGAAAACGAAAATTATATACGATTTTTAAAAATATGGCATTTCAAATTTTGGCGGACGGTTGCCGAACTTTTGGCGTTCCAAACAAAGTAGGTAGCGGAACTATGTTATTCCTC